ATAAATGTTTGAGACGAGAACGACTCCTCCGCACCGGTAAACACCGCCCGGGACGCTTCCGAGAGCGCATCAGATTGCCGGAAACCATCCGGGCAGGCGGCGCCCCTGCGAGGACGGGGCGCCCGCTTCTCCGCAGGGAAACGGTCCCCTGTGCATGCGCAGAACGCCCGAGGAAGCCGGGCGGGGCCGCTTCCGCCCGGAGCGCCGCCTCCCCCGCGCCGGCCCGCCCGCAGACGCAGCCATGCGGCCCTGGGGGCGGCAGCTCCTGCTGGGCTTCTCCGTCCTCTGGAAGCCGCTCTTCACGGGCCGCCTGCTGCTGGTGACCAACACGGTCAGCTGCGGGGGGCTCCTCGCGGCGGGGGACTCGCTGCGCCAGAGCTGGGAGATGCGGCAGGACCCCCGGCGCAGGCGCGACCTGGCGCGCACAGGTGGGACCCTCGCCGCCCGCTCGCGGGGCTGCGTTCCCTAGATGCGCTTTGCAAGAGGACGCCGTCTCCGGGCGGCGCTCATGCACGACGTCAAGCAACCGCGGTGGTTTCCGTTACAGTGCAGCCAACTTGCTAAAGGACGTGCGAGCCGTCCTGGGACGTTTTCCTCGCGTAGGAAGGGATATAAATGTTTTAGGAGAGAAAGACTCCTCCGCACCTGTAAACACCGCCAGGGATGCTTCTCAGAGCTCATCAGCCTGGGGTGGAGCAAAGTCCTAATCTGGCAGTGAAAAGACTTGTTGGGAAAGCACCTAGCAGTTGGGGTGCCATCCCCGAAAAGGCCCTCTTCCCCCGGTGCCATCCTCCAGGTCCCCCTGAAAAGCAGCTTGGGCTTCGTGGCCAGCCTGAGCTGCACTGTTGTCGGGCCGCCCCAGACAGCAGCCTGCCAAAGCAGGGATTCTCCTTTCCACCTGAGGCTGCTGCTTTCGTCGCCTGCCTGTGCCCTCCCCCACTGGACCAAGGGGGTCTCACACACGCGCCGTGCAGTCCGGCCTGAGCAGCACCCTTTGCAAATGCCACGGCCGTACAGCCACTGTTGGCCTTTGAAACCAGGAAGCAGGCGAGTAACTCAGTAGATTGCAGCAAATGCTGACGCTGCCTCCTCCCTCTCCTCCATTTTATCCTCCCAACAACCCTGCACAGTAGCTCATGCTGAGAGCCCGCAACTGGCCCAGAGGCACCGGGTGAGCTTAGTGGGAACGGGAACCTGACTTCAGCGCTTGCCGTATGTGGCCACGCTGCTGCTTGGCTCAGGCTTTGCCAGAAGCCCAGCCCTGTGTAATGCTACAGGCTGGGGCACCCCTCAGTCCAGAAGCGGCGCTCAGCTGACTCTATCTGTACAGAAAACCAAGTGTCATCAGCGTGACAGTGAGCAGAGCTTTTTGGGCAGGTCACAGAAAACCCGCCCAACTTTTCTTTGAGCCTGGAGCTTCACATTCAGCCCTCGGTTAACAGTGCGGCTTTTCCCCTTCAGCTCGCATGTTCTGCATCGGCTGCAGCATGGGCCCGCTGATGCATTACTGGTACCTGTGGCTCGACCGTGCTTTCCCGGCCGCTGGATTCCGTGGCATCAAAACCATCCTGAAGAAGGTTTTCATCGACCAGATCGTGGCCTCCCCGGCTTTGGGGGTGTGGTATTTTTTGGGTAAGCCCAGTCACCACCAGCTAGAAATATTCCTGAGGCTGGGTGGAGAGGAAATGCTCATTTACGTCTCTGCAAATGCATTGCATTACAGGTGGGAGGAAGACTACGGAGCCTCACAGCACGTCTTTTAGTGGGGTGGAAGCAGAAGGGAGGCCTTCTTTCAGGTAGCATGCAAAGTGGGTTTTCCAAAAAGAAAGTGAATTGGCCAGTTTTGCAGTTGGTGCCCATAAGGGGTAATTTCCATCAGTAAATGTTTTACAAACCTTTCTGGAGTAGGGCAGTTTGCGGCACTCGGGTGTTGGCTAGCACTGGATGGAAGCGGAAGGCCAGGGCCGTGTAAAGCAATCTTCTCTTACAGAATGATCCAGTTTAGCACATTTATTTTACTAATTGCGTTTGCGACGCTATTGTGCACAAAACCAGAAACATAAATATCCCTTTGTTATTTGTTGTCCCAATACACCATAAATATTTGACTTGAAATATCTTGGGGTGTTCACATTTGCCACTTAATCTGAATTAAGCGTGAGGTTATGTAGATATTTTTACTGGGAAGTGTGTGGAAATCTAAAGGAAATAGAATGCACTTTCCTGACATTGTTTTTAAATTTAAGGGAAAAAGAACACAAAAACTGATGCACCCATAAATGGTAGCAACTCAAAGGACCTTGTGTGATATGCTGGGAGTTCTGAACTCATGAAATGGAGGTTATTAGTCGGGAGATAAAGCACAGTCGATTTTCTACATCACTGGTGGGGGAGGCTTTGTGCTAGGCTTCTCACATCTGGGTTTCATCTCCAGTTGTCCTTTGCCGCCAAGGTTTATGGGGCAAAAACTTGGCTACCTGCTTTTCTTTTCTACCTGCCTGCAGGTATGGGCTCTTTGGAGGGACAGACCCTGCGGCAGAGCTGGCGTGAGCTGGAAGAGAACTTCTGGGAGTTTTACAAGGTGAGCACCGTGCTCTTCCTGTCCTCCACCACCTCCTGCCTCAGGCTCCCTGGATGAAGAGGCTGAACTGACGGTCGATTCCAGAAGGTGGTGCTGGGGGACCATGTCTCTACGTCATGGCAGCTATGCCATGGGGTACCACAGGGCTCCATTCTATCCCCTCTGCTATTTAACATCTATATGAAACCGCTGGGAGAGGTCATCAGGAGGTGTGGGCTGCGGAATCATCAATACGCTGATGATACCCAGCTTTACCTCTCGTTCTCCACTAATCCAGGTGAGGCAGTGGCTGTGCTGAACCGGTGCTTGGCCGAGGTAAGGGAATGGATGAGGGCCAATAAACTGAAACTCAACCCAGACAAGACGGAGGTCCTGTTGGTTGGCGGATCGGGTTTCGGAGAGGGTGGATTTGACCTGGTCCTGAATGGTGCAACACTCCCTCTTAGGGATAAGGTCCGCAGCTTAGGAGTACTCCTCGACCCGGAGCTTTCTTTGGAAGCTCAGGTGACAGCGGTAGCGAGGAACGCCTTCCTTCAGCTTCGGCTGATTAATCAGCTGCGCCCCTACCTGGAGTACAACTGCCTGGCGACGGTGACACACGCGCTGGTGACTTCCCGCCTAGACTTCTGTAACGTGCTTTACGTGGGGCTTCCCCTGAAGACAGTCCGAACACTTCAATTGGTGCAAAATAGAGCTGCCAGGTTGCTGACGGGGACGGGGAGTTATGCTCACATGACTCCAGTCCTCCGTCAGCTTCACTGGCTTCCCATTGAAGCCCGGGCCCAATTCAAGGTGTTGATTATGACCTACAAAGCCCTCAACGGCTTGGGTCCTGGCTACCTGAACGAGCGCTTGCGTCCGTATATGCCCGACCGCCCTTTGAGATCTGCAGGAGAGTCCCTTCTCCGGGAACCCTCCATGAAAGAAATTAGGAGAGTAAGTACCCGGAGGAGGGCTTTCTCTGCGGTGGCGCCCAACCTATGGAATTCACTCCCCAAAGAGGTCCGCCTGGCACCGTCGTTACTGGTTTTTCGGCGCCAGGTAAAGACCTTTTTATTTAAACATCATTTCAATTGTCAAAACATATGATCTGGCCTGGGCAACTTCTTCTTCCTTCTCTTTCTCCTCCTATATTTTTATTTTATACTGATAATTTTAATTTTGTATTTGTAAATCAATGTATTTTTTGTATTGTTATATTTAATGGTAATTTATTATGTACTATTGTATTTCAATGTATTTTATCATGTTGTAAGCCGCCCCGAGGTTTCGGCAAGGGGCGGCATAGAAATGTTATAATAATAATAATAATAATAATAATAATAATAATAACAACTGACTTTCTCTTCCTGCCCCCAGATGGACTGGTGTGTGTGGCCCCCAGCACAGCTGATCAATTTCCTGTACCTGCCACCCAAGTACCGTGTGGTCTACATGAACGTCATCACCCTCGGCTGGGACACTTACCTGTCTTACCTGAAGCATCGTGTGAGTACCTCCCCCAATAAGGGCCAGGTTGAGGCGTAACTTGAGGGACACCCACATGGTCCGTCGTACCAGCAGTGGCTCCTCCGTGCTCCCCAGAGGGGCTCATCAGCATCCCCCCAAGCAGGCCCAGTGCCCCCCCACCCAGGAGTGGCAGGGACTTGGCTGTGCATGACCCGACATACTGTCTCTGAGCTTGGCTCGACTGCATCCCATAGGAGTCCCCTGACCGGATTGCGGGGGACACTGGCACAGTGAAAGTTCAGAGGTGGTGGTGTAGGCACAGGGAAAGCGTCAGCCCCGTTGGGCCGAGGCAGTGGCAAAACACGCCTCTCGCACAAGGCCGGCCAGCGGGAGACCCAACGAGACCCAGTTGCGCAAGAAGGCAAGTGTCAAGCAAACCGTCGCGCTCAGAGATGCGCCACGAAGCCAAGCTCAAGGCGGCACTGTGGCTTGTGCCCCAGAAGCCAAATTATGGCTTTGCCCCCGCAGGGTACAACTATTACTCATTTCTTTTCTGCACCACCCCATAGCCGAAACGCTTAGGGTGGTTTACAAAAAAGTATGGAAACAATAAAGTGCAATAGATGAGAAACATAACAAGAATTAAGGATAAAGTAGCATAGGAGGACATTGCGAAAGTACAGAAGGCCCAGCTAAAAATAAACAAAAGATTCGTGAGTCATTGTGCCAGGCCCTGAATGACCAAGGAGGTCTTCAGAGGCCTCTGCAAATTGCCCCTTTCACAGCTGGGGAAACGGCAGCTGGGGAAACTCCAAGAAACACTCACCAGCCCTCAAACGTGGATAGAGCAAGAAACAACCCCCGGAGACAGAAAAGCCCCACAACTCCCTGCATCCCCCAGCCGGAGCATTCTGAACGTCGCAGGACTTTTTCCCTGCCCGCACGGAGTAGTAAGATGCTTTTCTGCCCGGGGCTGGGCTGCTGGCGAGCGGCAAGTCACCCACCTCCTTCCCCTCCTGTTTAGCACAAGCGGCCTTCCTACAGTGTGGAGGAGGACACGCAGCCCCGCGCCGCCGAAATCCAGACGGCTGGGTGAGACGCACGACCGTCCTTCCAGGGAGCCACGGCGGGCCGCAGCTTCTCCGCTTGCTGTGGGGCCCTGCGAGGCAGCGCGTCAGCTGGGCAGGCCCCACAGCCAGTCCCAGGGCGAGGGATGGTGCATCGCCTCCTCACGTGGCCGGACCAAGGTGGAGGACTCGGGATCAACACGGGCACAGACGGAATCCTGTATCACGACCCTCCCCCAATCATGTACCCTGTAATTTATTTGCCCTTCGAAGTGCCAGATCACTGATTTTCATAATAAAAGCTATGACTGCCTCTCCAGCAGGACGACCGTGGCCTTTCCTGCTCGCTGTGCTGGATCCTTGTGGCTTTCTCACCCTGGAAGGAGACTCTCCACAGCAAGGGGAACTGCTACGATGTGCTGGCATCCTGCCTCTTTTCCTATCGCACAGAAGCCCAGGGGTCCTCCGTGAGGCTTCTCCTCCATTCTGTCCCCACAACAGCCCTGCAAGGTAGGCGAGGCAGGAGTCGGTGACAGACACCACCACCCAGTGAGATTTGTGGCCAAGGGGACACAAGAGCCCAGGTTTTCTGAGTGCCACGGCCCACAGTCTTGCCACTGTGGGTCCTTCCTCTGTGTGGACTGGCGTCCCCGCCAGGTTTAAATGGCGACACCAGGGAAGAGAAGGTCCTTGTGAGAATGGTGTCGATGCAGTGCATCTTGTCCGGGGCGTTGGGGCTCTTGCACCCAACACCTGCGTGGCTGGGCAGGATCAGGTCAGGAATGCAACGGGCCGGTCGGAGTGCCTTCGGGAGCAGCACCAAGCAGCCTTCCCAGTGCGCTGAACTACAGTTCCCATCCTTCCCGGCCCACGTGGCCACACATAAGCATTGCCACCCAACCCATCTCCTAATTCGGTTAAGGCTGCAGAAGCAGAGAGCAAAGCAGATGCGGAAACAGTTCCCTGCCCCCAGCCACATACACTCAAGTTGAACCCAGCCCTGGCTGGGGCCATTCTGCACCAAATCACCTTGAGAAGGGAGAGAAATGCTCTGGCAGGTTTCTGCGGGGCACACCAGATGCAGCCTTCCTGTCGTGCCCGCAGAGGAGCAGGGCTGCAAGTCCCATCATTCTCTGCAGGGGCAAGAGAATGCACCCAACCAGCAGGGAAAGCTTCGTGTCCCATCTTAAAGGGAGAGGAAGAGAAGAAACGGAAAGGAAGATCATGTCCGTCCGTCCGTCCGTCCCCTGCTGCTCCAGTTCTCAGGAGAAGTTGCATCCACAATTCCCCCTCCCAGATTCCGCTGCAGCATTAAGTCTGCGCATCCCGGAGCAGCTTTCAAAAATGAGACCCTCAGGCAGACCGGACCAATGTCACAAAAGCCTCTGCAGGCAATCGTGAAATGAATTTGTAAAATCCTCTGTTCGGGTTTTGCCGTCTTGTCTTTTAAGGTAGCCCTAACAGACGCTAGTGGGACCCGTAACATTCCTACCCGGCCACATCCCTTTGAGGTACTCGCAAGCAGAGTTACATCTGCCGTTCATCTGAACGAGAGAGACACACATCCAGCAGAAGTACCGTTTTTGAGCACACACTGAACTGAGTCCAAGAACTTGCCAGCAGCATCTCCAGAGTTTCACGTGGTCACAAAGTCAGACCCTTGGTCAGCATCTGACCATCTTGCATTTGAGAGCTCAGCCTTGCATTAATTCACAGGAAAGTTCAACATTTTTGTGACCAGTAATTTTATTTCTTCACAATATCTCCTTAAGTACAGTGCATTTTTTTGTTTGTTTGGGGTTTTTTTTAGGAAATTGAACTGATTTTGACACTTCGGACAGGTTTTGTTTTATAAGTACAGTACAGCATATATATTTTATCCCATAGAAGTAAACTTCACAAGAGAGAGAGAGAGACTGACTCTTGTGTCAAAGTATCTGTAAAACAAAACTTACACTATTTCCATGAAAAATAAAGGAGAACAATTTTGGGGAGGGGGTGGGAAGGGGGAGAGTGAGGAGTCCCTCCCCAATTTTATGCTGGGGGGGGAGGCGACTGGGGATACAATCCTAAGCAGGGCTTGGACTGAAGAAGGGCTCTACAAATTCTCACCGGTTGCTGCCGTTTTTTCTGCCTGATGTGTGTACAGATGCACCCTTGGTGTGTCGAAAGCAAAACAGGGTAGGGGCATCAGGAAGCCGCGCTGGATTTGGCTCGGCCCTCCCTCACCCATTTTGAGCAGCAGGTAGCTACAACCAGGAAAGAAAAGGGAAATCTATGGTATGGGGGGAAGGAAGCAAAGGAGTAGGAAACTGGATGGCCTCCATTTCCGTCAGTGGTCCCAGAGTGATTTCCAGCACGGCCCCCAGAGCCACAGAGATGGCTACTTTCTCTGTGTGTGTGTGTGTGTGTGTGTGTGTGTGTGTGTGTGTGTGTGTATGTATGTATGTATGTATGTATGTATGTATGTATATATTTTCAACAACTTGCAAGCAACGGAAAAAGCATCACGGATGAGAACGTAAAAAAGCCCGGAGACACGGCAAAGCACAGCGCGGCAGGGAAGGTGTCGCGTCTCACGTGTCGCTCGCCACGTCTATTTACAGGGGACTGAGAAAGCATTGCTTGTGTTCTGTACACCAAGGAAGACGAGCGGGGGAAGCCAAGCAGGGCGTTGTGCGCCAGGGGGCGGGAAGGCTTGGGTGGGGGCGCCAGGCGGGGGCCATGCTCCGCAGCAGCCCGCTCTGGGTCCCCGGACCAGGCCGCCCCGCAGCCCACCCGCCTGCACCGGGGCTGGCCCCCAAGCGCGACAGCACGGCAGCTGCGGCTTCTGCCCGGAGAGGCCACACGCTGGAGGCTGGCACCCCTGCTCCCCGGCGCTTGCTCTCCCGCAGGCCCCTCGCGGGCTGGGCGTGGGGCAGGCCGGCCCAAATCCGCCCGCTAGGAAAGCCAGGCCCTGCAAGTTGCCGGAGCCGCCCCCGGCCAGGTCGCCCCCAGGAATGCCGGACCCTTAACCCCATCAGCCCCAGGCCCTGTGACTGATGGAGGCGTAGAACGCAGCCTTCTAGCAAGTCGGACCGTGGGACCATCCAACCCAGTACTGCAGACATGGACTGGAAGCCACTGCTCTCCCTGCTGGATTTCAGGCAGAAATTTTGCAGCCATACCTGGAAACACTTCGGGGATCAAACCAGGGGCTTTTTGCATGCAAAGGAGGGGCTCTACCACTGAGCTACAGCCTTTTGCTAAAGGCAAAGTGAGATTCTAGTCCTCATGATTCTGAATAAAGCGCTGATTGAAACAGGAGCACTGGAAACCGTGTTCTGCTGAGTCAGGCTCAGTATTGTCCAAGCACTGACCGGCAGCAGCAGCTGCTGCTCTCCAGGGCTTCAGGCCTGATGCCTTCTCAGCCCTACGCGGAGTCGCTGCCGAGGGATCACTCCTGAAATCGTCTGCCACCAAGCTCGCGTCCTGCCAGCTCCTTCAAACACTCTCCTTTGTGGACCCAGGCGCACCGAACACGGGCAGGGGGCAAGGGGACGGCAGCCGCAGCCCTCGAAGAAGCAACGAGGCGGCGTGAGGGAGGGGTCCGTGGACGTCGGGGAGAAGGGCAGTGGGAGTCATAAATACAATAAATATACCAATAAATAAACAAACAAACAAACTTAGAAATCCAAGACAACAGTTAAAATTTCCCGGACGTCAGAACGGGATTTTGCCGGGCCCCAAGATGCAAGCACGATGTACTGCCAGCGCGCACCCACACGCACCACCTGCCCTCCAGAGCACAAGGGGTTCGGGGCTCACGCACCAAAGACGGCTGGGTGGGGTGTGGGCCTGCGTGGCAGGGAGCGCCTGGACCAGCCCTGCCCACGGCCGGGGGCACCGGGTGCCGGGGCCCACACGGCTGGACGGCGGAGCTGGTCCGAGGGCCCCCGTCACGGCGGGGCACGAGGCAAGCGAGGGGGGGCGGGCGGGGCAGGGGAAGCTGGGGCAGAGTGCAGGGCGGGGCCGTGCTGGGGTCTCCTAGCAGGCACAGTCCTGGTGCGGGGGCACCTGCTGGTCGCTCAGCTGGGGGCCCTGCTTCGCCCCAGTCACAGCCGGGTCGGCGGCGTCGAGCGACTCCGACATCTTTTCACAGATGATGTCTACCAGGCGCTCGAAGGTCTGCTTGACGTTGATGTTGTCCTTGGCGCTGGCCTCGAAGAACTCGAAACCTGCGGCGGGGGCGGAATGGGGGGCAGAGACGCCGACATGAGGGGCGGAGGGGAACGGGGGCCTGCACAGTGGCCCCCTCGGCACACGAGTGCCGGGTTCTCAAAGTCGGGCAACCTGCAGGGCCACCACGGAGAGGCCCGTCCGGGCGGGCACGGAAAATGCCTCTCGGAAGCCACGGCAGGGGAGGTGCGGGGGTGGCAGCCGCCAGCAGCCAGTCCATGCAGGGTCCCCTCGGGGCCGGGGGAACACCCAGCCTGCGCCCAGTGCCAGGTGCTCTGTGCCACCTGGGCGCTGATTGAAGGAACGCCGAACCGATCGCGCTGTGGCTCCTGGGAGCTGGACGCCACCTGGCTTGGATTTCGTCGAAGTGAACAGGGGGAACTGCCCAGCAGCCAAGCCAGTATTCAGCATCACACGGATCGATTATCCCGGCTGGTTTCGCCGCTGTGGCTCGGCTCACCAGACGGCCAAGGGCCCCCACCCCCTATGGAAAAACGCAGCCTGCCACCGAGGCGCCCCCCCCGCCAGCCAGACGCCCTCTCCCCAGACTGCCACCCACTCACCCAGGTGCTCAGCCAGCTGACGGCCCCGCTCCGACGACACGACCCGCTCGTCCTCCATGTCGCACTTGTTCCCCACCAGCAGCACCTGCGCGTTGTCCCAGGAGTACGTCTTGATCTGGGTCGACCTGAGGGGAGACAGGCGCTGACGGGAGCCGGACGAGAAGCATCCGGCTCCGCCGCCGTGGGTCCAAGGAGCCGGCCAGCAGCCCAGGGGAGACGCGTGCTAGGCACACACAGAGTGCGTGGGGGGGGGGGGGGTCCGCTCCCCTGGCCCCTGCCCCTCCCATTTCGTTGATCCAAGCTCGGGGGGCGGGGGGGAGTGCAGGCAGCCCCAGTAAGCAGCGCGGGGCAGCAGGGGCCGGTCCAGGAGGTGCAACGGGGAAAAAAGAAAAATGCTCCGGTCGGGAGGGGCAGGGGCTTCCAGAAGAGGGAAATGCCCTGGAAGGGCTTTCCTTGGAAGGATGCGAGATGGGGGCACACAGCCGCCGATGCTCCTCTGGCCTGGGATTCTTCGGCAAGCGGGCTGCCCTTCTTGCCGATTGCAAGGATGCCAAAGATACGGAAGGGAGTCCTCTGCTGGCACCGATTTAGAGGAACCTTGGCCATTCAGTCCCGGCAGCAGATGGGGGGCTCCCCAGACGTGGTTTTGCGGGCCCACACCGTTTGCACCCCGAGGGGCAGATCAGCCTTGGGGAGACGGGCGAGCGCACTGGATTCGAGGCCGTGGGGCTGGTGGACCCCAAGCCAGGGCTCCCCCGCCGGCTCTCCGGCAGACTCACCAATCCTGGACGGCATTGAAGGACTCCTCGTTGGTGATGTCGTACATCAGGATGAAGCCCATGGCTCCCCGGTAGTAGGCCGTGGTGATGGTCCGGTATCGTTCCTGCCCTGCCGTGTCCTGGAAAAGACACGGAGAGGACCTTCGACAAAGCCACCCACCCCACAGCGTGTCCTCGGGTGGCAAGAACAGGGACGAGACGGAGAACAATCCTGCAGACCTCTGCCTCTCCTAGCGCTACAACCAGGGCTGTCGTCCCGTCCCGTCAAGCCAGAGGGTGGGAGATTAGGGACGGAGCAAAGGACGTCCTCCTCCACACGGCACGGAGGCAAACCGCGGACGTTGCGGCAGCCTTCCATTTAGCCAGCTTTAAAGGCAGGTCAGGGCAACTCTCAGAGGAGGCTGCCAGGTGGCTGCAGGTCACTTCCGGAATGCGGGATCCCCGGCCCGTCTGGGCACTCCAGGCCTCTTTCCTCCACGGCACCCGACCGACCCGTGTGAGCCAGTGGGCCTCGGCCTCGCCCAGCAGGGCGCTTCTCATGCTCTTCTCAGAAGTCAGCCAACCACCCCGTCACAACCAGAGCCCGATTGCAAAGAGCTCCACAGGATCTGCACTCAGATTATTTCCCCCACAAACAATCCAGCCCAGCGCGTGCCAGAGCTGAAATATTCCCACATAACGCAGGTCCTCTATCAGCTCCACTGGCTTCCTATTGAAGTCCGGGCCCAATTCAGGGGGCTGGTATTGACCTACAAAGCCCATAACGGCTTTGGACCAGAATACCTAAGGAACAACTCTTTCCCTACATGCCCTCCCGCCCCCTAAGATCTGCAGCAGAGGCCCTGCTCCGGGAAGCCTCCCTGAAGGAGGTTAGGAGATAGAATACCCGGAGTGGGGCCTTCTCTGCAGTGGCGCCTCAGCTGTGGAATGCGCTCCCCAGAGAGGTCCGCCTGGCACTGACTTTATATGCTTTCCAGTGCCAGGTCAAGACATTTTTATTCACCAAGTATTTTAAGTTTTTAAAAATTTAATTCAGATTTTATTTTTCCTTAGTCACGTTTTATCTTGGTATTGTATTTATTGGATATCTATCGTTCTGTAAGTCATCCAGAGACGTTTCGTATTGGACGAGTTAGAAATATCCTAATAAATACATATTCTAGAAAGAAGTCTTTTCTGCTTACACACATGCCAGTACAAGACAACTCTTGCTTGGCCACTTCAAAAGAAAATAGTTATCAGTTGCTGCTCCGCAGCTGGATTTCTCTCCACTTCTAGCACCTTCTACCTGTAGGCTGACCCTCCTCATCCCAGGACCACAGCCAAGGAGAACCCTCCCCAGGGAAACATTCACACACAGAGAAGTGCAAACATAGTTAGAAGTCCTACCGCATCATTCCTATTTTTAGGAAAACAAATGTTGTTATGCAGTGGGGTTATGTTGACGTTAAAACAACAGACAGTCTCAAAGACGTCACAAGCTGCTGAAACACATCACATCTGATGATATTTCGATTGTTCGGGGAGGGGGGGCAAAATCTTAGGCGCAGGAAAAAGCCTGACTCTCCTATGCAAACAGCCCTGCCAGGTAGGACGCCCCACCACCCCAGCCAGCCTCCTCACCCAGATCTGCAGCTTGATGCGTTTGTCATTGCGGTAGATGGTCTTAACTTTGAAGTCAATGCCGACGGTGCTGACGAAGGCCGGGGTGAAGGAGTCGTCGGCATACCGGAAGAGGAACGACGTCTTCCCTACGCTGCTGTTGCCGATGATCAGGATCTTGAACATGTAGTCAAAGTTCTGGTCCGAAGACTCCTTCTGGCCATAGCGGGCATCAGTGGCAGAAGCCATCTGCAAGGAAAACGGGAGAGGCGCTTGGCTTGGGCGCTGGGCACACGGGGAGCCCTGGGCCAGGGCCCCCAGCCCCCAACTCCAGCAGGGAGCAGCCAGAGGTGGGCCAGAGACCCCTGCGACTCCCCCTCCAAGGCTGCGCTCCTCTTGGCCACCTGTCCGTTCTCCCTGAGGTGCTTTATGGGGTTCCCGTGATCCGAGCTGCCTTTGTGGGGACTCAAATACAGCTCTGTGATACCACGGTTCATTTGGTTAAGGAGATCAGCAGCAGCTAGCTTGGCCCACCTTTCCCTTTCTTTAATCTTTATCCTGCTATCCATCTAGGTACATCTTTCCCATCGGTCTCCTTCAGTCGGACCTCTTCCATCCACTGCCATTCCCGTCTTTCTTTCCTTCATCTCTTGTTCCCCATCCTCCCTCTCCTGAGCCATCTCTTTCTGTGTTTCCATCTCTTTCCCTTCCCTGGCTTTATCTTATTTTTCTGCCCATCCAGCATCATTTCTTTCCCTATTCAAATGTCTCATTCGATCTTATTTTAGCTCTTTATGTCTTTCTTACTTTCTATCTTTCCCTGTCAATATCTCTTTCTTTCCAACCATCAAGATCCAGAAAGGCACATGAAACCTTTCCAACGCAGCCTGCGTTCTCATGTATTTGCTTTCCCCTGTCTTTATTTGCTGTGAGGTCTTATCCCCTTTTGTGGGGGCCAAAGCTCAGCAAACAGTAAAAGATGTAAGTAGAGTAAAACTGGTCCGTGCAGGCAGAATCTTCCGTGGCATCAGGCAAGGGTGGCGGGTGGGGGGGCACTTAGGCTAACTGGATTTATGAGCTTAAGGGGATGAGCAGTTGCCCTCCCCATTTCACTCCTGGTGGATTTCTAAGTCTCCCCCCCCCCCCCCCGGGCCAGCTTCTTCCACCGGGTCTCCCACAGAAAACAATATTTCTCCAAGGAAGCAGAAAGGAGACCAAATATGGCTCTGCTTTGGAAAACGAGTTTGCATATGTCAGGAAAAGGAAAACCACCAAATCCGGAGCTCTCCCTGCCAAAGATGCATCAAATCCAATGCAGAAATGCAGAGTCCTAAACCAGGCACCCCCAGGATATGCCGGACTGCAATCCCTACCATCCGCAGTCGGCTCTGACGCAACCAGCCGTTCCTCCGGCCCCAGCAATCTGCTGTCTCTCATTTTTGCACTTATATGCTGCTCCCTGCTTCTAACGGAGCCCTCTGCGCCTCACTTGGGCGAGGCAAAAAGGGGGGGCCGGACTGAGCCCCCTCGCAGCCAGAAGCGGCGACCCACACACGGCTGCCGGGTGAGAAGCGACAAGCCCCTCGCAGGCCGACCTTGCACACCGGGCTGGGGGGCGGCCTCAGCTGTGGTGTCCTCACCACGAGGCCCTTCAGCAGTTCCACCTGCGCGCCCCCCTGCCCCAACTTGGGGAGCTAACTCTGCCAGGCGCTCGCCCTGAACGGATCATGAGGAAATGAGAGCAGAGATCGGGAGGGGCCCTGCCTGTCGCCCAACTGGAAAGGGGCCCAATTGCCCCCCTCTCCTGCGCTCCTTCCGCCCAGACGAGGTGATGGGGACACCCGGGCACGACCCCAGGGTGGCTACGGACGGATCCCGCTATGGCCTGGGACACAACCACGTCAGGCAGGCAAGCTTTGGCCACCGCAGCAAAGAGCTGGTGCTCGAATCTTGGAAGCCGAGGCTGTTTACTCCCCCCAGCAGCGGAGGCACCGTGCTGGGGATCTGAGCAGGAGAGTGCTGCGCTGCCAAGATTCCCCTCGCTGAGGCAGCTGGTGGGCGAGCTGTGCGTGTGACCTCGTCTCCCACCTTTTATCCTCCAAGAACCCTCACGGCTGACAGAATCCTCTTCTCGGGTCACCCTCACAACAACCCTGTAAGGTAGGCCAGGCTGAGTCTCAGCAATGGGTTCGTGGTCACTCCGTGAGCTTCATGGCTGCGCAGGGATGGGACCCTGGTCTCCCAAGTCCAGCCCAACGCTCTAACCACTAAGGAGCTCTAATGTGCCTCTCCTCTCCGCAGGCCAGGGATGTTCCAGTACGAATTCTATGAACCGTCCCAGGACCACAAAACGGAGAAGGTCATGCAAACGAGGACCTGCAATGAAGCACAGTGTGCCTGAATCAGGTCCCAACCACATTCCCTTTCCTTTCGCATGCTCCTCTTAGATCACAAACCCACGGACAGGAAAGCGACAAAGAAATCCATTGCTCCGCTGCGATCAAGGTGGGCTGGCTTTCCCCCTGCGCAGTTTGCTTTTTGGTTTCAATTGGTAAGAGCCATGACAGCTCCTCGTGGGATCACGGGAACACGGCACGCGGCCTCACGCTGCATCCAGCCACCAACGGTCCATCTGGCTGATGGCCACACCCGCTGAGCAAGATGCCCTGGCAGTTCTGCATGGCAACAGGTGGGGGCAAAGGTGGCTATAGAGGAAAGTCAGACTAAGGTTCTAGCCCTCATGGCAGTTGCAGGAATTTCTCCTGAAAGCCGAAGGTCTCTCAGCAGTTCCAGAATGTTTGAAGGATCCCCCGTAAGGAGTCAAGCCCAGCAGAGCCCAAATTCCTCCAGATCCACCTCCACCTTTGCCAAATTTTGAAAGGACCCAAGAACTGGGTCCTTTCAAAGGACCCAGGAGGCAAGCCCATTGTGACAGAAAACAAAGAGGCGTGCAGAACATTTGTCTGCATTGTTTCGGCCTGCAGGTTGACCTGGGTCTCGGGTGAAGGCGGATGCAGCCGCAGATGTGAGGCAAGGGTCCACAGGTGCAAATGCCCCCTTCCTGCAAGCACATATGCACCGGTGGCTTCTCAGCTTCTGTGCAAATTCTCAGGAAGAGCCTGAAGCTAAAAAGGGTTTTCGCACCTGGGCCGGCAGCCCAGAGATGCAGCCCTCGGAATCTCTCCCAAATGCGGGCCAGCACTGATGCTGAAGGACATTCTGTGCTGCTGCTTTAAAGCTGCAAGAGCCGTTCCTGCCCCTCTCAGAACTGTCTCTCCGGGAGGAAAGTGACGGCTGATGGGCAGGGAGGTTGCAGCGGCTGATGTCCTGACCGGGCACCGGCCGGCCAGGAGCTTCCCTGAGCACCCCGCTGCCTCCAAGCTCGGCCACCCAAGCAGAGCATCCCAAGCGCCTGCCCCGTGCTGGACATCCTCTCTGGCCCGAAAAGCCAGGCTGGGGGCGCTGGAGGCGGGGGGCGGTCTCCCCGTGTCATCCCCAGGCTGGCTGATTGCAATGTGGAGGCTCCCTCCCAGCACGGCAGCCGCCATGTCCGCACCCACAGCCACCCGCCTGCAGACGGCAGAGGGCTGGGCAGGGGGCAGGCCCGGCTGCTCCTCCGCCCGCTCCGCCATCAATCATTCATACCCCGGGCCACGCAGGCGGCCCGATCGGGTTGCGAACGCCATACCCGCTGCTCCGGGACTTTTCACCCCTGCCCGGTTTTCCAGGGGCAAAGGGGGGCACTGATATTCAAAGGGGGGCACTGCAGTCACTGTTCCACCTCCTTGCCCTCCATGGTGGTGGAATTTCAACCGACCCTGCAGGCAAGGGCCAGAGAAAGCGCGAGGATGAGGGATGAGCAGGGAGCCGTCCCTGCTGCATTGCATGCTACCAGACTGCCCCTCCTCCACAGCTGTGGGGGGACCGGGCTAGATTGCAGCCGCGGCCTGCAAGAGAAGAAATACTGGGTTGATCGATGGCTTGCAAGAGAAGAAATACTGGGTTGATCGATGGCTTTTTCACGCAGACCCCACGAAACAGGGATGCTCCGCTTGGGTGGCAGCAGCATCGACGCTTCCACAGCAGGGATCAGAGGCAGCTGCCTCCCTGGCCTCCCCAGTCGGCTGATCTGGCAAAATGCAGATTTAAGCCGACGCTGACAGCAAGGGTGGCTTCAGAAGAAGGGTGGAGGGGGCTGCCTCCCACCTCCAGAAGAACACGCCGCCTCCCCCGTCAGAAAAATTGGAAGAGTGACAGAGAACCCAAAACGATATTCGGAAAAGAACCCAAATATTTGGATCCAAGCCGCTGTGGAAAAGAAAGGCTGCTAAGAAGGCACTGAAAGGGACTGTTTCTGTTTCTCGGGAGGCGGGTGTCCTCCTTGCGAGATACCTGCCCCAGCCTCTCTGCTGAGAAGGCCCACCCAAACGCCTCGCTCAGCCTGCTTTCCTCTGCAACCTGCGCCGTTTCCTCACTTGCTGCCTTCCTCCCCCATCCCATCCCTTCCGCCTTGCAGAGCCGCCTGTTTACCATCTGCATCGCAGAGGCCGGCAATCAATGCTCATCCCCCATTCATCCTTGCAATCCTTCCATCACTGCAGAAAAGTTAAAAAAAAAAAAAAACCCAGAAACACCTTCGCCGAGCACCGCAAGCACCCGTCCCTTCCACAGCCCTCAGAACGTCCACTCGGCCCTCGCAGCGCCGCACGCCCATCCTCCTGGGCCTCAGGCTGTTTACAATAAGCAGCAAAATGCGATCAGCAGCGCAGCCCCTCCGCCCGTGTCAAATGAAGGTTACCCCCCCCCCCCGCCCAGAGCAATGTCACGGGAGGGGCCCGAGCGAGCACAAGCCATGCAAGCAGGCGGGGGGGCTGCGGGGAGGGACGGGGCTGCCCGGGCGCGCCTCACCTCGACGACGCGCCTGGGGCTCGGAGCTGATGCGGGAGCAGCGGGAGCAGCGCGAGGAGCGGCACCTGCCTGCGGAGCCCGGACCGACGTCACCAGCGCTCCGAGAGGGGCGGGGCCGGCATGCCAGGCGCGATGGCGTCAAGCGGCACGCCCCGCCCGCTCCGCCTCGCCGGCAGCGTCCCTCCCCCCGGGGGGCGGGCCGCGCGATGGCCGTCCTGCCCCGCGAGTGGCGGAGCGCGGCTGACGGGCACCGGCCGCCGCCCTATGCCCGCCTCGCGCGGTGGCTGCGCCCCGCCCCGCCCCGCAGGCCTCCCCGAGGGACGCCGGAGGGGCTTGGGCTCGCGCCGCCTCTCGCGAGGTTTCGTTTCCCGCCATTCTTTCCTTCGGAGGCTCGCGGGGCGCCCAGCGCCTTCCAGATGCTTCTGCGGCGGCCTCGGGAGTCCCGCCTCGCCTCTGAGGGGAATTCGGCCCGCTCGGGAGGCCGGGCCGGCGAATCCAGGCGAGCTGGACGGGGCGGCGGCTTGGCAGTCGGCGGACTGGAACGGGCGGGAAAGTGTTCGTTTGTTTCTTATTTATCGCAAGCATTTCTATCCCGTCCGCCCGCCAAGCACTCAGGACGACTTGCAAAATATAAAAGTACAATGTAAAACCTCGATTACTAAACAATATCAAACAACACATCAAGAATTTAAGAAAAATGAGGGGGGGATAGAAAATGTGACTGTGAAGAGAGGAAAAAGAAAAAATCCTAGAACGTCTAAAACCCTTGACTATTAAAATAATGGTTGGCTAAAAAGCTCCTTACCCGGCGCCGGAAGGCGTATAACGTTCGTGCCAGGCGGACCTCTCGGGAGCACTTTCCACTGCAGAGAGGGCCCTCCTCTGGGCAGACGGCCTCGTGCCTCCTTAGGGACGGTTCCCGGAGCAAGGCCTGCCCCGCCGATCTTGAGGGGCGTGAGGGCACGTAGGGAAGGAGGCGATCCTTCAGGAATTCTGGACATAAGGCATTTAGGGCTTTATGGGGTAATACCAGCACCTTGAATTGGGCCCAGACTTCAGTTGAGTGAATGGGTTAATTTAATTAAGATGACCATCAGGTATCCCTCAGAAGAAATGGAGCAGCCTTCACAGTCAATAAAAGAGTAGGAAAAGCGGTACTGGGATACAATCTCCAAACTGACAGAATGATCCCAGTTTGAATCCAAGGCAAACCATTCAACCTCACAGGAGTCCAAGTCTGTGCCCCAACCACTGGTGCTGAAGATGCTGAAGTTGACTGGTTCTATGAAGGCCTACAACACCTTCCAGAATTAAAACTAAAAAAATGATGTCCTTATCATCATGAGGGATTGGAATGCTAAAGTAGGAAGCCAAAAGATAACCGGAATAACAGGCAAGTTTGGCTTGGAGTACAAAATGAAGCAGGGCACAGGCTGGCAGAATTCTGTCAAGAGAACATGCTGGTCATAGCAAACACTCTTTTCCAACAACCCAAGAGACGACTCTACACATGGACATCACCAGATGGTCACCACAGAAATCAGATTGACTATGTGCTCTACAGCCAAAGATGGAGAAGCTCTATACCAGCGGTCCTCAAATTTTTGAATATGGGACCAGTTGAAAGGCTGCAGTGACCGTTGCCGGCCGGTGAGGTGGGGGTGCCTGGGGGCACAGGCCGGTGAGGTGCCGTTGGGTGTGCGTGAGGCACCAGGGGCACGCGGCAGTGGCTCACTCACTCGGAGATCTACCAGCGTATCCAAAACCATCTCCGAGCGAGCAAGCTACCACCTCCCGCCTGGCGGCGCAGGCCAGATGGATGGCTATGGCGGGCCAGACGCGTCTCTCAGGCCGTAGTTTGAGGACCCATGCTCTATACAGTCACGAAAAACAAGACCTGGAGCTGACACTAGCTCAGATCATGAGCTTCTGGTTGCAAAATTCATGCTTAAAATGAAGAAAGTAGGGAAAAGCACTAAACCACTCAGGTATGACCTAAATCATATTCCTGATAAATATACAGTAGAGGTGACAAATAGATTTAAGGAATTAGATCTGATAGACAGAGTGCCTGAAGAACTATGGACGGAGGTTCGCAACATTGTACAAGAGGTAGCAACTAAAACCATCCCAAAGAAAAAGAAATGCAAGAAAGCAAAATGGCTGTCTGAGGAAGCTTTACAAATAGCTGAGGAAAGAAGGGGAGCGAAAGGCAAGGGAGAAAGGGAAAGATACACCCAAATGAATGCAGAATTCCAGAGAACAGCTAGAAGAGATAAGAAGGCCTTCTTAAATGAAAAGTGTAAAGAAATAGAAGAAAACAATAGAATAGGTAAGATCAGAGATCTCTTCAAGGAAATTGGAGATATGATGGGAATGTACATGCAAAGATGGGCATGGTAAAGGACAGAGGCAGAAGAGATTAAGAAAAGGTGGCAAGATTACACAGAAGATCTATACAACAAAGACCTTAATGAATGTGAGGTCAAATGGGCCTTAGGAAGTCTGAGCAACAACAGAGCTAGTGGAGGAGTCAGTATTCTGGCCGAGTTATTCAAAATCCTAAAAGTTGATGCAGTTAAAGTGATACACTCAATATGCCAGCAAATTTGGAAATCACAACAGTGGCCACACGATTGGAAAAGATCTGTTTACATTCCAATTCCAAAGAAGGGCCATGCCACAGAATGTTTAAACTACTACACCATTATACTCATTTCACATGCTAGCAAAGTTATGCTCAAAATCCTACAAGCTAGGCTTCAGCAGTATGTTGACCGAGAACTACCTGAAGTACAGGCAGGATTTCGAAGAGGGAGAGGAACTAGAGATCAAATTGCCAACATACGCTGGATCATGGAGATAGCTAGGGAGCTCCAGAAAAACATCTGCTTCATTGACTATGCTAAGGCCTTTGATTGTGTGGATCACAACAAATTGTGGCAAGTTCTTAAATAGATGGGAGTACCAGACCATCTTATTTGTCTCTTGAGAAACCTGTATGCGAGTCAAGAAGCAACAGTGAGAACTGGAACTACTGATAGGTTCAAAATTGGGAAAGGCTGCATACTGTCCCCCTGCCTATTTAACTTACATGCAGAGCACATCATGTGAAAGGCCACGCTAGATAAATCACAAGTTGGAATTGAGATTGCCAGGAGAAATATCAACAACCTCTGATACGCAGACGATACCACTCTAATGGCAGAAAGTGAAGAGGAACTGAGGAGCCTCTTGATGCGGGTGAAAGAGGAGAGTGCAAAAGTTGGCTTGAAACTCAACATTAAGAAAACTAAGATCATGGCATCCGGTCCTCTCACTTCCTGGCAAATAGATGGGGAAGAAATGGAGGCAGTGACAGATTTTATGTTCCTCGGCTTCAAGATCACTGCAGACGGTGACTGCAGCCAAGAAATTAAAAGACACTTGCTCCTGGGGAGGAAAGCTATGGCAAATTTAGACAGCATACAAAAAGCAGAGACATCACCCTGCCAACAAAAGTGCGTATAGTCAAGGCTATGGTTTTCGCAGTTGCATTATATGGCTGTGAAAGCTGGAGCATAAGGAAGGCTGAGTGCCGAAGAACTAAGGCCTCTGAATTGTGGTGCTGGAGGAGACTCCTGCGAGTCCCTTGGACTACAAGGAGATCAAACACAGGAATAGGTGTCATAACTACAGGTTAGGGGAGAAGTGGCTGGAGAACAGCACTTGTGAAAGGGACCTCGGGGTGCTGGTTGACTGCAGGCTAAGCGTGGGTCAGCAGTGTGATGTGGTGGTCAAGAGGATGAACGCCACCCTTGGTTGCATAGCCAGAAGTGTGGCTTCCAGAGTGAGAGAGGTATTTACTACCACTCTATATGACTCTGGTGCGCCCGTAACTGGAGTATTGTGCTCAGTTTTGGGCCCCTCATTACAGAAAGGATATTGCCAGGTTAGAGTCAGTGCAGCGTAGGGCCACAAGGTTGGTGGCCGGTTTGCAGGGGATGGGGGATGAGGCGAGACTGAGGAAACTGCGTCTCTTCAGCCTGGAGAAGAGGAGACTCAGAGGGGATATGTTGGTGACATACAGGTACATGAGGGGATGTCACATGGAGATGGGTAGAGACCTGTTCTCCCCTGCAGAGGAAGGCAGAACGCACTCCAACGGAGCAAAGCTCGGAGCCAAGTTTCCATTGAGATGCCAAGAAGCACTTCCTGACAGTTAGGACCCCGAGGGTATGGAATGAGTTTCCATGGGAGGTTGTTAAGGCCCCATCAGTGAAGGTGTTCAAAGATAGGTTGGACATGCACATGGTGGGCATGTTGTGAGTGGAGCCAGCTGGAGCCGGTGGTCAGACTAGATGGCCCAGGAGGCCCTTCTGACTCACTCTGTTTCTGTGTTTCTAATCCAGTCAGTCCTAGAGGAGATCAACCCTGACTGCTCTTCAGAAGGCCAGATACTGAAGATGAAGCTCAAATACTTTTGCCACCTAATGAGAAGGAAGGACTCCCTGGAGAAGAGCCTGATGCTGGGAACAACTGAGGGCAAAAGAAGGAGGGGACATTAGAGGATGAGGTGGCTGGATGGAGTCACTGAAGCAATCGGTGTGAGCTTAGGTGGACTCCAGGAGATGGTGGAGGACAGGAAGGCCTGGAGGAATGATGTCCATGGGGTCGCAATGGGTTGGACATGACTTCGTGACTACTATAGCATAGCATAGCATAGCATATTTCATTTCAGTTGGGAGCTCTGAATATCAGCAGGGATAAGAAAATGCGATCCAATTCCCAGATGTCCACAGAAAAGGAATTCCACTTAGAAAAATGGCAGCAGTTGCCAGCATGACAGACATCCATTTTTTTCTGTTTGAACAAGTTCAGGAAGTCTTGTTGGGGTTCGTTGGGGATTTTCTGTACATATGAAGGCAAAGCCCACAAAAGAAAGTGGATTCCAAACCATAAATGCCTTGGCAGCCCAAGCACACACCACACATAGAAAAAGCGAGACAGAAGCCTGGAGCGACATCTAGTCTGACCCTAGCACTGCTAAGAGAAACATAGCAACAGCGAAGCAGAAAGGGCCTCCTGGGCCATCTAGTTTGGCCCCGACTCC